CTCCACGCCGTCGCACTCTCTAAATATATGTGCATATATACACATACAGCTCTCTCTATATACATATATACACATAGACATCATGCTGCCAAGCCTGCTGGCCACAGGCTATCCTATCTTCTTTTTGGGGATGCATCCCTGCGAGGAAGTGAAGACAATGAACTTGTGCGTGCGCTGTTTAGGAGGAGTGCTTGGGCTCATGTTGCAATCCATAAATCTATCTCGCAAGACTGGCGATGAAACCTGGCAGCAGATAAAACTGATAAGATTAAGCTATGGCTTACCATGACCAATTATTGGCATGCCCCAAACAACTATAACTAAACCATGTAGGGGAAGGATGTGTGCGCACTTCCTTGCTGGATTTGCAAATACATTGCAGCCTTCAAAAATCTTTAAAGCTGTTGTCACGACGATATGGTTAAGGGATTAGGGGCAGCCAGGCTGTGGAATTCTTTTGCCAAACTACCTTGACTTGTACAATCTACAGACACAAGGGACAAAAACAATCCAAAAACACATGGAGCATGATAGCACCTTCTGCTTACTCATGCAAGTGCAGCTTTGGAGGCTTGAGGCTTGAACTTCTAGTCCTGCCTGTGGGACTATTCAAAGTCGTGCCCTTGCTTGGTCGGTCTGGTGGCCCTCCATGATGCTGGTGTCCTCCTTCGGAAGAAAATGTTGCAAGCATTGAGGGTTGTCGGGTTTAAGGGCTCTTTACGCTTTTAGGGGTTGGTTTCGCATTTAGGGGTTTAGGATATATGCTTCCAGCGGTACTAGAAGCGGGGTGTTAAAGCGGCCACCACTGACACTGCGGCAACTGCACGGGTAAATCAGAATCCTGCGAAGCAATCAGATCTTCTCTGAGGTGCCCTCGCGCCGTCCCACGAACCAAAGGATCGCAATGAACGGATCGGCAACAAGAAGGTACATGCTCGCACTAGGATCTTGGGATCCGTACCATAAGACTTCCCAGGGGACGATCCTACATTAGTTGCGCTCCGAATCAAACGCTTTGATGTTGACCTCATAATTAGATATATATATATATGAACAAACCCCCGCGTAATTGCAAAATCCAAGTCCAAGAACGTAATCACAACCCCAAATCCAATCCGCCAAAACGACAAAACTTGGAAGCGCCAGAAAAGCAATGTGTACTACTGGCTAGTACTACTATTGGCCACGCCGACTGGGGCTCGAGTTCATGGACCCGGATACCCCTATAGTCCCCCTTAAGTAGATAAAATATGGCTTTGGGTAGATTAAAATAAGCTCCCCATATACCCTAGATTCTATCTACTTAAGGGGAACTATAGCCCTTAACTACGGAGGCTTGGGCCCACATCCTTGAGGGGTATATGAATATACGTCTGTCGAAACCCCGACATGAACCCTAATGTATGGTAGCGTACATAAGATGGGCCATGTCATGCTCAAGCACTCCCCATTCTGAGGTCTACACCGTTACACAATATCTGCCATATGTCTCCAGCCGGCCAGATCACAACCCTCTCATGAGGTAGGTGTGTTTAATGCTACGCCAAAGGGATGCTCCACATACGGGCACACAGAAGAAGTTATATGCTCTCTACTTCATTTACTGCCCTAGACGTGCTCTACATAACTACGAACCCTCAAACCCATGAACCAAAAATCCTCTCTCAACAGAACGAAACATGTCAGCTCCTCAAGACACTCCCATGCCCACACGCTGATATTCCCCAAAACCCTTGCCCCTGCACAAAACCACTGGCTCCTCTTAGGCAGCCCTTGCTGGAAGTGGGCGAGGCGCAACCCAAGCACAACATTGGGTTTAGGGCTTACAGGGTTCAAGGGCTTAGGTTCTTTTACCACACCGTAGAAATTAGGTTTAAGGATTTCTGGGCTGGGTAGGTACATTGCGAAACAGTGTCGTGACTTGGGGTTGTCCTTTCGTTTCAATAGAACCTAGGGTTTCATGGGAGATTATTGAGGGACAAGGTGGCGAGTAGGTAGGAAGCTCTCAAGGTGATGGGGTCCTCTTGTTGTGGGGGGCCCCATTATTTGATCCTGCCATTTTCGGATTAGGAGCAACGCCTTTTTAAGGGGATATCTCAAAGCATTTAGGGTTCTTCAGGCTGCGGGTTTAGAAGAGCAGCGCATGCGGTCTGCCAAGATCAGGAGAGGAGGGGCAGGGCGAGACATAAGTAGCTATAATGTAAATGAAATGAAGCATCCCTTATTGCGGAAACCCCTAACTAAACACTAAATACTCCAAGTTTTCATTTCATTTTCGATTTTCTTTTCCATTTGATATGCCTCTAAACGCTATAACTATGCGGCTCATTTCTCACGCCACTACACTACTGGAAGTGTAATCTGCG